GATAGCATAATGACATGTTCTATATGAAATTTAGCAAACAAATATTGTTAGGTTAGTAGATAAAAGACGGACGATTGGTGGATTGGGTGTATATGGGTATCCCGCTTAGGCGGAAGTGGGTGTTAAAATTTTATCCATTGCAGGTGGCGGGAAGGTCACAAGTATAAATTTTTTTGGCAAATGCGGATATGGGGGTGAGGGCATCCGCACCCGCACCGCCCAACGATCATCCCTAGCTACTTAAAATTATGAACCAATAATTGGGTAAAAATTTTAGTATTTGTTTTATCTTACCTTTGTATTTTTTGTTATATTCACTTACGTTTGTGATGAGGTCTCCAATGTCAATATTTCATCAAATATTTTAATCATGTATGAATGTAACTATGAAATTTCAGGTTGTAACTCTGAAATTTACAGACTAAATAAATGTCATTTAACTGTTTTTTCAAGTATTTTGTGAAAATGGCACTAGACGAAAAAGGTAATTTGGCACCGGTTCAAACCCCCCCTAAGGCACCGGTTTTGAACCGTTGGGGATTTGAGGGATGCCAAATCCCCAAAAATTTGCATTGGCACCAGTTAATCGGTGCCAACTTGAAAGGCGCAATTTTTTTTATTTTCAATACTATAGGCACCGGTTCAAATCAAGAACCGGTGCGAAAAACCCAACTTTAGGCACCGGTTTTTGCTTTGAACCGGTGCCAAAAGTGTAAAAAAATTTTAAAAACTATTGGCACCGGTTCTGGTCCAAACCGGTGCCAAAAATACCCCAAAAAAATAACTTTTTTTTTTTTTTTTTTTGCTTTTTTTTCACTTAAATTGATATAGAAACATTAACATATATATAAAGTTACATATTTTTATTAAAAAAGGCTGTAATATTACAATTTTCGTCCAAAAAAAATGTTTGCATTGCATATATATAAAGTTACATATTTGCCACCCCTGTCTGAAGACGGCAACATGCTGTCCTGAAGTGTTTGCATTGCATGAGTAGCTTGTTCTACTTCCTGAATAGAGAAGGACATAAGCATGACATTTAGCAAACCTTGTGGTCAGTGAGTGTCATTAATACAAGTATTCAACCACACCAGTAATGAAATGTACAACAGAATGGGAGAAAGAAAGAATAAGAAAATGACTAACAAAATGAAATACAAAAATTATAGAATTTGAAAGGCCGCTGAAACAATCTTGTAGTAATAAACGAGTATAATCCAATCTGATTGAATAAGAGAATTATTCATCTTCGCCATATGTTTTAAATGTTTAGTAATGCTATTGGCTCTGACTAACTAATGCGAAGTATTAACATTGGCTGCATAGATATAAATATAAATATGCTTGTAATACCTCATAATCCGCGCAAATGCAATTGGCATGCCACCTCTAGCACGCAGCTTCAGCCCATTGAATCCAGAATATCTAAACATGTCATAAGGAAAACAAAACCACTTAGACGAGTGACATGAGGGAAGCTGATCACGGGAAATTGGATGATGAGATTCTTAGATATTTGCTGGAATCAGAAATGTACTGCAGTACTACCAAGGTGTTTATGCTACTTACCATTTTTCTTAAAAAAAATATATACATAAAAGTATAATAAGCATACTTCTTTCTCATTTTTTTAAGAAATAAGCAAACACCCTTCTCAATAACAGAACTCTTCAAAACACTAAATAAAATGAGGATTCAAAACATGTATGATTCTAATCTTTGACCCAACAATCTTGTTACATGAACCTAGAGAGGCTCTCATAAATCATAATTGAGGCCAATACTACAAACCGAGCTCATATGAGACTTGAATTATCAAACTTCCTACCTAAAAAGAAACTAGAATGGGCATATATCAGGTAGTATGACATCCCCGAGAGCAAGGAATCAAAACAAAATGCAACTACACAAAATACATATAAAGCACAGCTGAAAATAATTTGGCATCAAAATATTTCAGCACACATGGTATTGTGGCATCAAAATAATGAAATTCTACAACAACAATGTTTTGAAAGAAGAGGTTGTATTGCCTCCCAAAATGGTATAAACTTTTTACTGTAGATCACAAGCATTAGCAAGAAGAAAATGATCACCACTATCAAAAAATGAAATTAAAAAAAAAAAAAAAAAGAATAAGGAAACATAAACTAGTTACAAATGTTCAGGGTAACTCATTACCTGAATTGAGGTTAGGATCGCAGCAACATCATATATAGGACTCCACTGGTTTTGTAGTATATCAAGACAGATGCTTCCATCTGCATAAACTAATAAAATCCCACCCCCAAAAAAAAAAAAAAAAAAGGCAAACATACACATTGCAAGGTTAGAACATAAAAAAACAAGTTTATTAGCATATATAAAAATTGCAGTTGCAGACAAATAGATACATGTAGAAAATAGTCAAAATCTGTTGAAGAAGAAATCATCTTTTATGGCATGATTCTACTAAAAGAAAACAGTGAGCAGACAAACATTAGGCATGGTATCTAATTGGATAAGAACAATAAGCAAATTGCAGCATAAAACTTTGAGTGCATAATCTCTTAGTAAGCTTCTTCCTTTTTTTTTTTTTTTTTTTTAAGATTAATCTTTGAGTAAGCTGAGCCACACCCAGCAAACCAAAATTATATACTCCCTTTTAAGATTGTATTACATTGACTTGCCAGTGCTGCTTTGCAAATTCGCAACTAAGGATAAAAAAAGAAATTAATTATTACTTGCTCCATGCAAGATCATCTTAAGTTAGCCATTATAAAACAAGCTAGCCAAAGTACAATGAAACTACACTGTGGTATCAAGTCTTTCATGATTAATGATACAAGGCTAAAATCCCTGTTTGGAATGATATTGTTCACAATTTAATTTTTAAGATCTATGCGTCTTCTTAATCATTCCAAAATATTATCCTTCCACTGAAGTACTGATGTAGCCAAAGATAAATTGTAATATATAGATTCGATTGATCAAATGGCAGTTTAAAACACAAATGACAACAATACAATTATGCATCAAAAAGCCTCTAGATAAAACGCTCAGCACCGGAACTGGGATTTAACAGTAACAAGCAGAACGTAATACACTGCAAGAAGACAAGCATTCTTCTTGAATACAAAAATTTAATAATTAGCACTTACTATTTGGATGAAACATCCGAGAGACAAAGCGCACTGTAGGAGGCTTATTTGGGTAGTCCTTAGTAAACTGAAGTGTCAATTTGAACGTTCCTGACATACTCAAAACAAATTACAAAAAATAAGTAGGAATAGAATTCATGAAGTTAAGCAAATGAGCAAAAGAACACAGATAAGACAGATTAGAAAAAATAAACCATGGTCAAACTCAAACAAAAACTTCTGCTCTATGTTGCACACTCAGATTTGGGGTCAGTCGGACACGTAGTTGGATCCTTCGACACTACAGATTTTATAAAATCTTGTATAAGGGCATTATATATTTGGGTGTCATATCGTTTCGAAGTGTCAAGAGGATCCGACACTCAACGTACATCAGGGTGTCGGAGTAACATAGCTTCTGCTAAACACTTCAGCAGAGCTACATCAGGTATATGTAGCTGCTGATGGCAGCCGGTCTGTTGTAGGGATCCTTTTCGAGTATGGAAGACCTGATCCTGTTCTTACCATGGTATGTTTGTAGTGTTGTACCAATTCTAGCTTCTTCATTAATTTTTTTAAATATTTAATTATTTAATTTCATTTGAAGGGTGTCACAAGCTAGGAAAACATAGATAAAATTTAGCAGATACAAATCATGCTAATTGCCATTTAGGCTGCTCAAAAAGGAATGCTAAATTGCTAATTACAGGGGGGAGAGAGCATTTCAACCAAGTTTAAGGAGTTTAGGTAAAGAAAATTCAAGTCCGTCCATTATAGTCCTTTTTATTAGATACCAATAAACGCATGATCGATACTCAAAAGAATATTAAATCATCATATCAACCAAAGAGCGAACAAGAGGCAGACAATGATAAAACTATCTTCAATGTATACATTAACAAAAGTTACTAAGCAATTAAAACAATTGAGGAAATCTAGCATTTTCTTGAAGGATGAAGTCAATAGTATCTCATGTGAAGTAATAATTGATTGTCAAACAGCCTAAACATAAAACCACACATTCTAAGAACTCGAAGATTTACCCACTTCAATGCCCCAAAGCCACCATAAATGAGCTCCTCCATCCCACGAGATTATAATTTGGAAGTTGTACATCCAAGGGGAAATTCATGTTCTCACACAGTAATAGATGTCCTGAAATACATCTTTCCTACAAAGTATACACTACATTCATGACAAAGCACATGATTTTAAAATATCGACCTACAAGAGAATCAACAAGACAGTTTACCATGAAAATATTTAAATCTTCTTAACATGTTAGACATAACACAAGCTCAAAGATCAATATACCTACAATAAATCAAATGCAATGTAGTCATAGAGAAAAGGGCAATGATGATTACATACCCTTATTGATGACATACAACTCTTGATAAATGTTGAATGTGTAGCTATCATAATTAGCAATCAACAAAGTCCTAACACACTCCAAATTTTGATTCGCATTCGTCTCTTCCCACTTCTTCTTACTCTTGGACACCTCTTGCAATTTTTTAGCAGCCAAATGGCTCGACGAGGCTACAACAGCTCTCTGAGCATCATAACTACAATTATGAAACTTGTCCTTTTTAACCGGCAACACACACTAGTAGAAAAAATGAAAAAGGCAAAAATTGGGCGGGATTTGGATAATTACTTTTCGCACCAGTTCCTTATAAACCGGTGCTAAATGTTTTTATTAAAAAAAAAAAAAAAAAGAGGGAAAGAGGGATTTCGCACCGGTTCATCCCAAAACGGTTGGAAAATTCATTTACAACCGGTTCGAACCGGTGCTGTAAATTAAACAAAAAAACCACTTAATCGTGAAATTCGATCTTCTTCTTCCTTCAATTCAGTTTTCATTCCCCTTCTAGCTTTTCCACATTCAATTCGCACCCCCCTCGTTGTCGCCTACCTTCCCCATAGCTGTACGTCCTCCATCGAAGCGCATTCTGGGCTTTCTCACCTCCATTGCCGCAACTCGTCTCTTTCTCTCCATAGATCTCCTCCATTGAAGCGCATTCTGCTGAGCTTTCTCACCTCCATTGAAGCGCATTCTGAGCTTTCCAACTCCATTGTAGCAGCTTCGAGGTAAGATTTATTTCGTGGTCTTCCTAATCTATTGAATTCCTTCGCAATCTAGGGTTAGTCGTTGATTTAGGGTTTTCTGTTCTTTGTGGTTTGCTGTTGTGACTTTAATTTCGAGTTGTGCATTCAACAATAGTAAATTGTTTTAGGGTTTTGATTGTTGCTGTTGTTTATGAACTTGATGGTTCTCGTTTGGGCATTTGTTTATGAACTTGATGGTTCTCCATTGCTGGGTTCCTCAGCTTTCTGATTTGGCGCTCAGCATATCTAACGCGTGTACTTAGCTGGAGAAACAGATTCTATGTTGCTGTAAACTGGGAAACCACTCTAGCTTTTGGCAGGGATATTTCAAAGATAGGAAACTGAAGATATTAGCTTCAAATATTGCTGTTGTTGTCCCTATTGCATTGAGGTCCTTTTACTTGTAGTTTGTGCTAAAACTTTGGACGTTATTTGATTTGTTGTAATCAAATTTTGCGAAATTGAATACTTCTATATATGATACTCATATTATGATAGAATTACAGTATTAATCAAACAGATCAAGGTCTTTTGAACTAATTAAGTGCGAAATACAAAAACTGATTAGTACTCCGATTTATGTAGTTTCTCAATCTTATATGGCATCTAAATGAGAATGTGCTGATCTTGGTAAAATTGCAAGAAATGAGATGAAATTGTGCAAAGCTGTTGTGGTGTAATATTGGATAAAATTGCAATTATGTAAGCTGTTGTGGTGTAATGAGCTGCTTGATTTATGTTGGTCATTACTCGTATAATATTGGATAAAATTGCAAGAAATGAGATGCAATTGTGCAAAGCTGTTGTGGTGTAACTAATTTCAAGAATTTATGTTAGGTAGAAAGTTTGTTCTTATTAAACTAATTTCAAAGTTGCTTGTAAGAGTTGTAACAAGATTGTTTCGTATTAGATCAAGATATTTAAGAGTTTACTGAACTTAGAAGAATTATGTGAGAAAGATAGTCTTCAAAAGCAAAGTTAAAGCATTTGTGATGGTAAGGGTTTAGAGGAAGAAGTGACTACTGCCACACTCAATGCTACCTGTGCAGCAGTACAAAGATTAACCATAGTTAGGCTTTCCAAAGGTAAATTGCACATGAGCTCACTGTGTTGAAGGCTTGAAGCCCAGATTACCATTAATATGGTTTCATAAACTTCAATGTGCTCTGTTTTTTCTTCTCTCAAAATTGATTTGGAGCTAAAAAGTTAAAACAATATTCATGTGAATAATGCTCTTGGTAGTTAGACCTTTTTTCTGAAAAAGAAGAATCCCCTTCTGCATTTGCATGATTACTAAATTTTTTCATGCATATAGTTATTCTGAACAAATTTTGACAGCCGAAATGCATATACTAAAGACTAGTGTATCGTTTTAATATCTTCTAAAAGTATCTTTGCTAACTCGGTAAGTAGTAATATACCCTCTATGGCTATTGCCATCTCTAATCAGGAAAAGCTTTAGATAAATTAGTACTTGATTCTTGTATGGATTAGATTTCCTTCATGGTATTTCTTCCTTCAATATCTCGTTTTTATGGTAATTCATCCTTCGTAAGCAATAGTATACCCTATATCATACATCTATACAAGCTTTAAATGTTACACAAAGTCATGCTCAGCTTTAAGTTTGGTTAATCCCTGGCTAGAAGGTCCCTCTGACTTTTATTTTTCCTTACTTTATACAGAGTACTTCGTATACAATATAAAAATATAATCATTTGAGCTAATCTATTACATGATCTTTTGCAGTGATAAATATACGAGCATATGCATCCTGGGATAGCTTCTCTCATTATCCGGTTTGGCAAGGTATTGTAGCCTGCAGTAATGACAAATGATCAAAATTTCAATTACTTTTAAAAATCTTAAATGAACAAATAGTTTGAAAATATGATGATACTTCTGCTTGCATTAGAAAGTAAATTTAATTGCTTGGAAACTCATGATTATGAATAGTCACACCTCTTTATATATCAGTTCACCATTCTCTTCAATTCATTGCTCTTCTTGCTCGTCTTTCAAATAGCTTCCCAGAAAATTGAATAGTTGCCAGCTCCATCCTATGAGCTAATTTAGCTAGCCATAAGGGTATAAATGACTGATTCCAATGTATCATCAGGTTAATAGTCTTTAGCATTAGTATAAATAGAGTGAGGGGAGAAAGGAGAAAGAGGCAGAAAATTTGGAATCAACAATTAACTTCAGGCAACAATTAACTGAATCAACTTATTCCCCATTTTGTTGTCTGGCATTTACAGCAGATATGGTTGACTTCATATCTTTTTATCAGTTTACTCAACGTTTAATTCTGTGATGATAGTTATACCATCTAATATGCTATAGTTCAATTTGGAGTTGTATGTTCATGTCAGTTGATGTTTTCTCTTACCAGGAAAGAAGCAAATGAATTGATAAAACTTGTCAGGTCTCGTGTAGTGGACAACAATGGAACTTTTGGTAAATTGCTTTGCAAGATTTTGATCTTGATATTGACAGCAATGTCTACGTAATTGCCTGATACAATTGTTTTGTTTTTTTTTTTCCTGATTTTTTTCCTCTAGGTGAAACTACTCCAAATATGCAGACCTCAGCAATTATGGAAGCTAGGAAATGATAAGATTTTCAAGTGTGACCGATCCCTCTCTACTCGGGGAAGCAGGGGAGCTTGAAATACGCATCAAACCTGATCCAGATAATGGGACCATCACGATTAGGTATGCATTCATTCCGTCGATCTGTTGCAATTTCATTAATTATCGAATTCTGAGTTTGTATGTATCTCAATCTTTAAGGATACTGGTAATTGGAATGACAAAAGAGGAGCTTGTTGATTGTTTGGGAACTATTGCACAGAGTGGCACTTCCAAGTTCTTAAAAGCATTGAAGGTACTCGAAACCTTTCTTGTGATATAGTCGTATGTTTTAATTAAAGTAGTCTTGTTTTTTCTAGAAACAATCTGAGCTTGTCAGTGTAAGGTTTTTTGAATTGAGAAGAGAATATGTGATGATTGATAAGAAACTGATGGGATGAACCCTCAATCATCAATAACTGTATGCTAGCTCAAAAACGTGTACTCTGTTGTCATTTGAGTTTTCTTTCTATAAGATTAGTTCCATATTGTTCATGGAACAGTTATAGTGGTTGGATTCTTTTATTTCAGCTATACTTTTCATCGCATTGATCTTCTTCGACGTGCAATGACCCATGCTTCATTTTCTGAGGAGAACAACCGAGCACTAATCATTCTAGGCACGAGCATCATAGAAACATCTGTGTCCTTTAGGTATCTTCTAAATGATATGGATATTTCTTCAAAAACTTTGAATCGTGTGATAGCAGAGGCATGTAATGTGGAGTCCCAGCTTAATTTAGTCTGCCTGAGAGCCTTTTGCATGTCCATGTTGTTTGTGCTTATGTAACATTGTATGTTATTTATTTTTTTGACGAAAATTGTAATATTACAGCCTTTTATAATGAAAATATGTAACTTTATATATATGTTATTGTTTATATATCAATTTAAGTGAAAAAATGCAAAAAAATTTTTATTTTTTTAGGGCACTTTTGGCACCGGTTTTGGAACACAATTGGTGCTAAAAGTTTTTTTATATAAATTTTTTTGGGACTTTTGGCACCGGTCCTCACCCAGAACCGGTGCGAAAAGTCCTTTTACCCACCGGTTTTGAACCGGTGCGAAATCTATGGGGTTTTAGCACCCCCCAAATCCAACTCGGTTCAAAACCGGTGGAAAGGGGGGGTTTGAACCGGTGGGGAATTCGTTTTTTCGCCTAGTGACAGATGCCTTAGGCAAAGGAACCTTTGTTCTGTTAGAACAAAAACCCTCAGGATGAGGATTTTTCGCCTCCAAAGATGACGAACACCACAAACTAAAGCTCATTTCTCCTTTTTACCAATTAAGCTGATCAATTCACCAAAAACCAATCAATGACTTATTTTTGACTAAGTTTTATCACAACATTAATCATCATTTATTTAATTCAAAATCAACCAATACATACTTGTCAACAAACAACATCAAAATTAATTGGAAGCACATCAGCCAGCAGCACAATGAGTTATTTTTTAACATAATCGACTTGAGTTCGAGTTCGCAAAATCATCAATACACCAAGTTGTAAATTAGATTTCTTTCTCAAATAATCGAAATTGACAGAGAAATGATACGTAGAAATAAAGAAAAGTTAATCCTGCAAACAAACAAGACTTAATCACTCAAATAAATATCAAATACATCTACAAAAATCAATTACGCTATAACAAATTAATGAAGTAACATTTCCAGCAAAACAACCCAATTAAGGAAATTACAACTAACACAAATAATTAGCGAAATTGATATTCATTGATTAAAAAACATTACCTCAGAAGTTGTTTCAATAGAGGAGAAAGCTCATAACTGCTACAATATAACGCAAAGCTAAATAACCCAGAAACCCTAACCTCGAATTTCTAATTTTTGGTTCGAAATTGATTCGAAATTGTTGTTGTAGAAGACGCACGCACATGATTGATTCAAAATAGACGCACCCAGAGACCCTAACCTCCAATATTGTAGAAAGAGAGAAGGAGAAGGAGATCGAAAGAGAGAAGAAAGGAAAGGGATAGTGGCGGTTATGGAGAAGGAGATCGAAGGAGAGAGAAGGAGTGTTAGGAAAGTGCTGAGAGAAAGCTCAGAAGCCCCTTCAATGGAGAAATTCGAGTACGCTTCAATGGAGGAGAGAGAGAGGCAGATTAGATGAGAAGAGGAAAGATCGAGGAAATGAAAGCAAGAGAAAGAAAGAGTATGGAAAATGAAACGAAAACGAAGAAGACCCGGTTTTTTTTTCCAAAAATGGCAAAAATGGCACCGGTTTAAACCGGTGCTAATTAACATAGTTGGCACCGGTTTAAGGCGAACCGGTGCCGACTCTATGCCATACTTATTTTTTATTTATTTATTTTTTTTAAGTTGGCACCGGTTTGAACCGGTGCTAATTAAATGATTGGCACCGGTTTTGGTTGGAACCGGTGCCAACACCGAATTTTTAAATCCCGCCCATTTTTTTTGGCACCGGTTTTCAAGAACCGGTGCTAAAGGGGGGGTGCCTATTTCATTTTTTCTACTAGTGTGGACTAAATCCAATCCGCGTAAGGAGTGTCCAAACTATTCGCAATCTTTGATTGAAGTCTTATAAAAAAAAAATTGATTTTGTAAGTATGACCAATCGCCCTATACTTTTAAAAAAAAAATCCCCTACTCCAAAGTTAGGAATGGTGCAAGTTGAGCATTCATTCACAAGTTTTTCAAATCGCTGAATAATTGTTTGATTTATACAGCTTGCATCTTTGATCCACGTGATAAAAATTGTAGTAATAATTATTATATGCGTAAATAAAAAGAACGCAATATAAAGATTTTACTAAAAAGTTCATCGTAAGTATGGTAAGATTGGTAACAATCCGTCATATATACTATATATTCTACTAACAATTCATCATGTATATAAAACATACGTCAACTATATATGATATTGGAATTTAGAGATTTACTAAAAAGATCATCACAATTATGGTAACAAGTAACTTTTTACTAAATAAATTCTATATTCTACTAAACAATCCGTCAATTATATGATAGTGGAAATATTTTGTAAAATTTTCTACTTTAAGAAAAATAATGTAAAAAATTTCTACGTAGGATCAATAAAATTTATATTTTTTTGGCAAAAAATATTACATTAGATCAATTAATACTATTCTAGTATATACAAACTTTGATATTTTTCTTAAATTATGTGTAATATTTATAGGAAATAGAAAGTCTTAAAAATTTAGTGAATAATTGCTTTATTTAGGATAGCTTTAGGTTACTTTCTCTCTCTTTCCTTTGACTTTCAGTAATTTTTTTTTTAAAAAAAATTTGATGGAGTTGATCGATTTGGACATTTTTTTAAAATTGATTTTGTTTTTTTTTATTATTTGCTTTTTTATGGTTTTTGTTCATTGAAATTTGCTGAAAAAAAATGAATAGATGTATAATACTCCCTTCGTCCCTATTTTTTTGCTCCATTGCTACAATATGGGTCAAATTTAGAAAACTGTTACTATAAATTTCCGTTGTTCTACTAAATGAAATATAGTCATGTGGGATCTTGTTTGGTTCGTCTCACTGTAAATTTAATTAATATCAACTTTTTATAATTTTTACGCTTATGAAAATGGAGATATAAACGTTTTAACACGTGTCTTGGAAACCGCGCACAGTCAAATGGGGCAAAAATAAAGGGACAGAGGGAGTTTAATTTTGGAATGCTAATTCCTATTCAGAAAAAAATAAAATAAAAAAAAAATAAAATAAAAATTGGAATTCTAATTCAAGTTGCATTGCTTTAATTTTGAATTTATGTGTAAAATTTGGTAGTAATGCTTGATATTCATTTCAACTATTTTAGGTTGATAATATTAATAAAAAGTGCACGGTCAGATTCAAATGCTGCTGCTATATGCTTATATGCACTATTAAGTTATAAAATTTATACGAAGCATTTTTTTTGGCAAAAGATATTATATAAGATCAATTAATACTATTATAGCATATAAAAACTACATTATGCATAATACTTATGGGAAATAGAAGGTCTTAACAATTTAGTGAATAATTGTTTTATATAGGATAGTAATAAGAGTGGGAAATTTTTTAATATCAAGGTGACATGTGGAGCTTCTACTTGAGTGCCTTCTGTTTTAGTATAGTTATAGAAGATTCCTAATCCATCTCCATTTTTCATCTAACATTTTTTCACAATGTACAAAGTTAATCCTTAATTTTTTTTTATTTTGTTAACAATGATAAGAAAAAAGAAAACATTAGAAAGCCCTCCTCACGAGGGGAATTCCTAATGCGTCGGAAGAAAAGATGGGAAATAAAGAAGAACTAAGGGACAATATCCATACTATAACTAACTAAATAACCAACATATGCTATCTAGTCCGTTGCTTGATTTGCCTCCCGAAAGATATGACGAATGCTCCACTTATCGAATTTGCCAAGAAGAGAACAAATATCTTAACAATATGATCAATTTGCCATGGTGTTGACCAGATGCCTTTAACGGAGTTAGTTTTTACTTGTCTATCATGATTTTGCACATTGTAGAAAGTTACTAAAAAATACTCTCATCTCCTTGCTCAATTACAGTATAATATTCACGAAGGTTACACCTCATTCATAATTCATGAGATTACTAACTTCATAGTGCATGGTCCTGAACCATAACTGGATATTCGTGGTTGATTGTGCAAAATTGAGTTCGGAAGTCAGTTACGCCCGTATTGACCTTTACCCAGTTCTTATAGTGACATACTAACATGTATCATTTGCAAGTGAAAAGAGATACAAACAATTATTTGATTTGCTCCAAACTTGATTATGCTAAGTCGATTAAATTATTAATATACATGTAATTGTTAATACTGTGACCATTTGATTAAACAATATATTTAATGGGATCCTAATAGATTGTACTGTCCATAATTATCTTATTAGGCGTGATTTTCAAATACCGGTCTTGACTATTGATTAATAAACAATATGTGATTAAACAAGTAAAGCAATAAAAATCATATGTATCATGAAGAACATCTAATAACAAATAAATGTTGGAAGCAAACTTGCATGATACTAACAATAATCAAAATAATCCTAACATGATACTATTAATCATAGCAACAAAAATAATTAAAGTAAATTAAACCAAGAGAATTAAATACTTATTTCGAATGCACAACTTTGAATACTATATCATAAATTGCTAATTTTCAATAAAAACACTTCGTAATTTATTTAATAAATCAAAAGAGTTATATTAAAATAAAAAATTTAACGAGAATTCATGGTCAAAGTTTTATAAAATTTGACCCATATATATGAAATGAGGCAAAAAGGATGGAGGAGTATTACAAACGGGTCAGATTAATTTCAGGTCAACTAACATTTGGATCGAGTTCGGATTGCGGATATGTTTTGAGTCAGGTATCGGGCTGAGTTCGGGTCAAGTTCGGCATGGGCCGGACGTCTGAAACGGACCTAAACGAAACCAAACCCAGGTTCTCTCTCTTTCTGTGTCATCAAAATTTCACAAGTAAACCCCCCAACAAAAACCCTCATTCATCTTCAACCTCCAACTTTCTCCTCTCTTTCTCTCTCTCTTTAACAATCAAAGCCATAACAATGGCGTCAAGGTTAACAAAGTCTCTTTCTTCACTTCGACTACACTCCGATTCTCTCTCCTCCCTCAAGCGCCTCTTCTCTTCTTCATCATCATCACCAATTCGCCGCACTCCGCTTCTTCCAACCTTCTCGCGCGCAACTCAACCCCTTAGGTGTGTTCTTCTTTCTTCTTTTGACAAATTACTTATTAATGGCGGAATTTGTGGATTTTTTTTTTTTTTTTTTTTTTTTTGTATATTTATGGGATTTTAGGTGTCAATGGATTTAATAAGAGTTGGGAATTAATTTGTGTTTTGAAATTGCTAGGGTTTTAGGCTCAAGTTTGATCATTACAAATGGCGTGATCTTCAATCCAGTTTATTTACTTTCTGCTCTAATTTTTCCTTCAATTGATGATAAGAGAAAATTCTTGTGTTTGATTTCTTGATTGCATTATGATATGAAACTTCGAATTTAGGTAGCTAAATTTGAAACCAGTGTAGTGCCCCTAAATGGACTGGTTAAGCTCATTGGTCTTGTTAGCAATTACGAGTACTCGGTAGCTAGCAGCCTAGCATGCTAATGGGCTATATATTGTCAGCATTAGTCTGTCAATGAGCAATGAAGAGGAGAACATTACTGATCAGTTAGTCGCGACTTTTGGGATTCTTTCGTGTTTTGTGTGTCAAATACTAGCTGGCCAAACATTCAGCCACTCATCTAATCTTTCATGCTTTGGGATTTACTTGATTTTCTGCAAGTCTTTGAGCTTTTAAATCTTCAACCAAATTCTCACCAGCCCTCCCAGAACTCTATTCACTTGATATGTAACCTTTCCCAGAAGTCGCATATTTCGTGTTTTAGTTCATAGAATTACGAGTCATGATCTAGTTTGGGAAATGAATATGTTAATGCTTTTCCTTTGGATTTATCTTTCTGTAAGAACCTTTTTGTATGATTTTGAACTCTGTAATGAAGGCTTATTGGTCATCTTCTTAGAACGAGTAAAACCAATTCGAGTGCTCATTGAAGCTTGCAATAGAATATATGTTGTGGAGTTGAATCATATAAATTTCAGAACCATTGTCATAAGCTATCATATGTTTCCACTTTCTAGTTGATGCTACATTGTGGGATAGCCTGAAGACATCTAACGATGTGTGTCTCTTGTAATAGGTATTTTGGGTCCAATTCTGCAATTAATGAAGAAACTGCAGCTAACATGAAAGGTTTGTGACAATATGGAATATAATCTAAATATCTTTTTTTTTTTCCCCTTTTTTTTTTTTTTTTTTTTTTGGGGGGGGGGGGGTGGTTGGGTAGAAAGTTGAATATGAATATATGATGTTGTTTGAATGTTTGTTTATTTGATAATTATGGCTATTTAACTTGAAGATGTCATTTTTTAACCATTGATGCCTATCATCTTTATTTATTTATTTATTTATTTTAAATCCTTTTACCTGTTCTTCCCTCTTTATTGGTGGTGTACATTGGCTTAAATTGACTAATTGCAAGGTCAAGAGTTGGCTATGGATTCATAAATGATTTTGTCATGGGTCTGGGAGAAAAAGAATACTGGATCTTAACTTTAAGTAACACTAGTTATTTTACAGTAAATATATATAAAAAAAAAAAAACACAGTTTTGTTGGAGTGTATGTTTATTACTATGGACATTATATTTCCTTGTGAAAGTACAAACTCATTTCTATTTCCTCATTATATGACCTTTGTAACAAAATATGAAATTTGTCCATATTGGCTTTAAAATTGTTATATTAATCTTGTTTTATTTCTTTTTCCACTATTATTTTGGTTTAATTAATATGTCTAGATTTTCTACTTATTTTTCGCAAAGTGGCATTATTAATCAAGATTTTTCTTGAGTCAACCTTTGGGTAATTGTAGCCTCATTGGTTTAAAATTTAAATTAAAAGGGCAAGCTCTACAAATTCTCTGAACCCTAGGATTTCAATGTGAGGTTTTATTTATTTATTTATTTATTTTTTAAATTGCAGGGTTGACGAGGTAAATATTCCTCTTTCTCTCTGTTATATGGAATTTTCTAATTGTCTATTTTCCTTTTCATTTTATTGTTTTGCTGTGATTTGGGGTGGGGTTGTCAGCAAAGAGCTTTTCCTTATATTTTTCTCGGAGTTGTCAGTATGAGTATCTTAGGTAGAGCTCATGCTTTATATGTTTTTACATTCACATTCACATTATAGCGGATGGAGATTTTTCTGTCTATTAGTTCAATTTCTTCGCAGTCATTTTTTTGCTGCTAGTCTGGGGGTAGAGTTTAGCTCTTTGTTTGTAATGAAGAACCAAGATCATAGTAGGAGATAAGGACTTCAGAAGTGTTCTTTCCTCGCTATGTTATACCTTCCACCATTCTGAGTATATTTGAATACTCAATATGAATTTTATATGAGCTATTAGTTCCAATTCTTATAGCTTCAGAATGAAATCTTTTCATGATACAACCATTTGTGTTAAAGCGCATGATGATTTCTTTCACATCCTGCTGTCTCAATGTGATGAAAAACTGAGTGATTGCTGTAAAGAGAGTTCTAATATAAATTATGATTCATGAAGTGAGTAGAATATTGTTTATTACATGATTACTGCCTTTGAGTTTATAGTGAATCTGATCATGATATGTGGGATCGAGAATTTTCATTGTTATTCATATACACTTTGTCTGATTACTCTGAGTCTCTGATAATCTACGTTGAAATGTCATGTTAGGTCAGGCATACTCGTTGGCTTCATTGAACACTGGATTTACCAACCAGCTGTGTGAAAACCGCAGAATGTTTCAAGCGACTTCGTTCATCTACAGATCCTTTGCATCTGCTTCAGAGTCATCTCGACAGAAACAAACAGAGGTGTGTATTATTGTGTAGTTACCCTTAATCTTGGGGGTGAACAGTTGAATGTCTCTTACTTGATTATTTTGTATGCCTGTGTCTATATAATTCTATTTTTAGTGCAAGCAAGATTTTCTCAAATTCTATGGCATCCATTATATGCAAACATTATCAAATCACTCTGCCTATTGATATAAGTATTAATTAATGATTTGACTTATCACTGTTAAAATCCATACTCTTATACCTATACTTGGCAACTCAGGTAATGTTATTGCACCTGACCTGGAATATTCTAAAATCGAAGATTTTCTGACATTGTTAGAAGTGTTAACTTTGAGGGTAAAAACACCGGCCTTGGACATGTTATTTATTTATTTTGTAACAGCTTGTTTGGTACTTCCTACGTTTATTTTTAAATGCAATATTTGACTTTTGCACTATTCACATTTTCTACTTTCTCTATCTATGGTGATTTATACTAATGCACATAGTCATATGGTATCCTTTTATTTTCAAAATATTAATTTAAAAAAATAATATTCACTTATTGATTATCAAAGATGTTAATTACTGAAGTAATGCATTAGCAATCATGCAAGCCAAAGTTCCTGTAGTTACTTATGTTTGGTCTTAATAGAAGGAATTGAAAGGATTCTGATGTTTGTTAGTTTGTAAGTAAAAAAAAATGAAGCGGAAGGGAAGGGAATATGAGGTTGACATTTTTTAATTTCTCTTTCCTCTATTCTAGGAGGTTATGATATTGGAAAATTTGAAGCTTTTTTTTTCTTCCATTTCCTAATACCATATATACAATTTGAAATGTAACATGGGAAATCCACTTATTTCCATTGTCTTCCGTTATTTTCTATCCAAACCTTCTCTACCAAACAACCCTAAATGTTTTTTCGACAAAGATTTCTTTTATGTCAAAAAGACTAACGATGGTTACCTTACTATGTGGACAAAATTAAATAGTCCCTAAATCCGACATTCTGACTTGGAAAACGTAACGGAATAAGAGAATAGGAAAATGGATTGAGAGCTTGATACAAAGGATTTGGACATCGCTCAATCTCGTAGTGTAAGAAAAGGGCGCTTCCACATGTCCAGAATCCTTCAGATACTTTTTGTTAGTAATAGGCTTAATAGTAGTAATATAAACATGTAAAATATTCTGGAGGATTGTGAAAGTGTAGAGGTTTTATATTTGTAAAGAATCTTCATGGATTCCTTCCTATATAAACGTATAAAAGTAATAAAAATTTCTGGTGTTTTGATATTGACCTGCCTCCCATTTTCTTTTCTTTTTTGTCTTACCCTTTACTATGCTGCCAATGTGTTCTTGATTCTCTATGAAAGTTTGATGTGCAGCATCTTTCTTAGAAACCAATTAGGCAATTAGATTGGTAAACCTTAAATCTTCAACTTGCCTCATCCCTCTTCGAGGACTGTAAACCTTAAATCTTTTTCTTAGCTCTGGTTAATTGATGGGTGCAATTTTTTAGGTCTACTAAAACCCTAGATCTGAAGGGACTGGATTGTTTTGGTCAGCTGGAGTTTGATGGATGGCCAAAGGTTTTTAGGGTTTGTAGAAAAAAAGGGGAGAAGGCGAGTCTAACTTGTGTCCCTTTTGATGGCCAGCCTATACTGTATGTTATCGGGTTGGGTCTCATCATTTGTGTGTCATCATAGTACTTCAAGGAGTCAAGGTACAATGCCAAATTCTAGCTACACTGATGTGAACTGCTGCGCTTTGAGGACACTTATCACTATTGTGGTTGAGATTATGCTATAAACTACAGAAATTTTCTGGGAATCAAGGTCAGAAAGTGGGGGGTTTGGAAAAGATGTGGTATTTTGCTGTTGTTGAGAACCTATTTGTTTGCTTTTGTATTCTAGATCATTCAGATGCAGGTATGGGGAAGGCATGTAAGATTTCTAGTGCTCTTAAAAACATTAATATAAACATGTCTGTTGCAAAATTGTAATGTAGACTCTGAAAAAGAGCTGTGCTTGATTATTCCTTGAGACTTGTAACTTCTTCCATTTGTTAATATTCGCAGCAATTTGACTTTCATCGCAACAATTTGACTTTCACGTGGCGAACACACTACTTTGACCTATTTATAAAAATTACTTTTGTAGTAAAAGTTATACGTTGAGTTTAATCCAATAACATTTCACGTGTTAACATTTTCTTTCTGTATATCAATTAAAAAAATGTCAGATGAACTATATAAATAGTGCATAAGTCTAATTGTTGTGATTATTAAAGAATGAGGGAAAAATATATTAATCCTTTATGCAAATTGAATTGGTTGCCGGTTTTATATCTGTTATTATCAGGTGTTGTATATTTATGTGCATGGAAATATCAATCAGCTTATTTGACTTTTTGGTATTAAGATTTTACTCTTGATGTATATCACCTAGAAATCCTACTCTGCCTGATACATCTGTTCAGCTGAGAGAGTAGTTTTGGATTTTAATTCTCGCGTTTTGTATATTATCATCAACAGGGAAAGAAAGATATATCCACAGTAGAAGATCCTTTTGATTCCCCTACATATCATATCCCAGAAAAACCTGTCACATTTACGGAGGGTGCATCCTACAGCATCGTGATTCTAGCAGGCCTTGGAATAGCTGCTGTTGCCGCATATGGTGTCTTTAAAGAATTAATATTTGAACCAAAAGAGTATAAACTCTTGCACTTCCTACTAATTTTGAATTAGTAAATATATTTTCTGTCATTTTGTTTATGAGCTTATGATCTGTTATAGGTACAAAGTATTTAACAAGGCGTTGGATAGGATTCAGAATGATAGTCAGGTTAGAGATTAATTTCTATTTTACAAATTTTGTTCTGGTATGCATGTACCTATCTTGCAAGATACTTCCTCTGTTCCTTTATTATTGCAATATGCAACATTTGGAGCTTTATGCTCCCCAACATACAACTTTAACCATCAAGGCATCAATATCTTCAACTGTTTATATGCAAAAAAATAAAAGGCTAGAATTTGGGAAGTACACATCAAGATAAATCTTACAATATTCTACATGACTTGTTTTTTCCTGTGGTAAATATCAGAGTTGATGATCAAAGGAAGTGTGTCAACTAATTTAAAATTTCAATTGTTGCAATATAGATGAAAGAATGAAGTTGCTTACCTGTTGCTTGCTGTTTCAGTCTTTAAAACGCTTAACTAATTCAGAGGTAAATGGAATTTGGAGAAAGGGATGTTCAGTGCCTCTCCCTCATCCACAGCCAGTAAATTACTGTTCTAGAAACATTTTTTGAGTAAGGTGTAATATTCTTGTAGCACGACCATATGATTGCCTTAGAGACTTGATAGCTGATACAAGCACTCCAAGAGATGCCTTAGTATCTTGACGTATTTGCTAATCAGTTTATTTTACTCTTTTCAAGGCTCTAATTTGAATATTACGAGCTTTGCTTTCCTGATAATTTTTGTGTCATTTAGCATTAGCAAAAACCAAGGTTAGAATTTTCCTTCTTTTTGGTAGGTTTAGTGTGGGTATCACAACCCAACCATGACCAAAGCAATGCCCGAGCATTTCGGTTGATCTCTAGATTCTACATGGTCCGTCTTATTTAACATGTATGAATATGCACTAATAGAATAATTGTGTCATAATCTTTCCTTTTGTTTTACAGTTACTTGCCTCACAATGATTATAAAGACTTTTTAGCTCAAAACTTTAATTTCAATCTCTAAAATATGCTTATACTTTCTGAGACATGCTAAAATAAGTAAAATTTGCCTGTTTCAGGTTAGAGTGAGGATTGGATCACCTGTTAAAGGATATGGCCAGGAGAGCAGGAATCGCGCTGCTCGCCAAAGGATTCCACATAGAGTATGGACTGATGAACATGGGGTGGAACATATTGAGGTAATTTTATAATTTATAACAATAACATTACTTCCTTTTTTCTATCGTGTGACTTCTATTCATGTTGGCGCAAGTATATTCTTAACCATCTTCTCGTATTTCATTATTTGGGGGTGGGGCACTAATTCTCTCTTGCAAGTCAAAGAGGTTATGTGAAGAATTGACCTGATGGTCAGCAATTCGGAGCTGCGTAAATGCCAATTAAATTGTTATTTCACCAGTTATGCTGTCTTTGTTATAAGATTAATTTATACTGTTGACAGAAGAGGCATCGATAGATGCAGTTCAACTTGTAATATTTGGTTTGGATTTGCTGGTATTGGTGAGAATAAGCTTATCTTTCTAATGATTTCTGGATTAGTGTCCTAGTTTTTGCCTTCCTAAGAGTTTGCAGCAGAAGCCACCTTTATGAAATTTGAACCCCCCCCCCCCCCTACCCCCAATCTGACGCTTCTATTTACTTATGTTACTCTATAGTGTGTTTGAGTCTAATGTGAAAGACAAGAAGACTATGCTTATTCTCACCTGTTCTAAATACCCCTTCCATCCTGAATTACTTGCATCACTCTCTTTGTAAAACCGTCCCAAATTACTTGCAATACTTCTATTTAAGGCATGTACTCTGTATTTCTTATCATTTTTGTCTTACTTTGAGACCGCTTAATTTTTTTTTTTCTATAATAGCGCTAAAAAAAGAAACCCCTCACTCACACCCTCAAGAACTAATGAATCATTTTCTCGCTAACTACACTTAAAAAAAATAAAAGCCTTACAGTGTCAGCTACCACGCAATAAAATATATAGTCAATTAAAGTGCCTAAAATCGTGTGTCGGTCAAAGCGTTGCTACTAATTTGCGACGGTGGGAGTATCATTTTTAAAGTTAAAGAACAGTTTTCATCCCACTTTTCAGGAAAGTAAAAATTAAAAAAAAAAAATTAAAAAAGATTATTTCTTTATTCATCCCACTTTTCAAGAAAGTAAATATATATATAATGTTCCATCTTGATTATTTCTATGTGAATTCTTTCTCAATATGTTGGAGTAATGAAATTTTGAGGGAACCTCTGATGCTTGTATAGAGATTTAGCGAGTTTCAGTTATTATACAAGGAAGCTCAAATTGTTTTGAAGTTTCATGAATAATACAGTATATATTGTAGGATTGATAATTTTTCTTCATTCAAAATTCTACTTTGTAACGGAATAGCATTGTAGCATTTAGATGTAATAATTTTATTCAACCTCATGGTTACACTTGGGAATTTTTAAAATTTTTGTATGGTTGGGGTTACAATTATTACATTTCACATGCACTGTGCGTAGATTGCAATATCATGCTTTTTATGTGTATGTTTCAACATGATTGTGTATTGTATAAAAGGATCTTTGAATTAACAAGTGCATGTTGTGTCTTTTGACCATGTTTACTTCACTTATGCATCATCTTTGCATGCATGTTTTTGAAGGAGAGTAGATACTTCCAGCGGGAGGGATGCTAGTTATTTGTTTTGTGATTTTCTGATGGTCATGCATGATACACGTTAGTTACTTCTTGTAACTCATTCCACCACTCTGTCTTACTTTTTTCCCTCCCTCAAAGAATAACAAAGTAACAAAATAAAATTTAATGCGGGCTTTTTTGAATTGGAAGAAACACTAATTTGATCAACTTTATTGCTATGTGCTTGATACAGGTGAATTTTTATATTCGTGGTCCTAGTGGGAATGGAAAAGTCTATTGTGAGATGTTCAAAGACAAGGAAGACAATCAGTGGAAATACATGTATATGATTGTTGACATACTCCACCCTTCTCAAACAAAGTTGATCTTGGAATCATTTCTCCCAGCTTGAAAGTACCAGCAGGTATGCTTGGCAAGATGAGGCACTTTTATTTTTCAATTTTTGCCTGCGGAACATGTTCATGTGAGTCACAGCTTGGTTTTTCCCACCCAAAATTTATAATTCGAGCCCCTTTGCCCTATCAGCTCTGTGTAATTACTAGTCCAAGATTTAGTAGTGCCTGAAGAAAAGTACGAGTATAAATATTTGGCTAACTGCAACTTCTAAGAATTGTTAACAGTAGCCATGTACCTTATTAGTGAAGACTGAAGAGTGAATTTTCTGATGTTTTTGTTAAAGTGACATGGTTACTGCAAGGGTTGGCGCTTTCATACTTCCACATTCATGAATCTTGACTTAATTTACTCGTCGTAGTACATTGTTTAGTGTTTTTTCCAATCCTGAACACAGCATATTATCGAGTCTGATACAGTTGTCCAGTAAGTGGTTTATTTTCGCTATTAGTTGGGAAGATAGAAGCCTTTTGTGGCTGAATGTGTTTTGATGTGGCTGTCTATTGGGAATGATTTATTACTCGTATAATCTTTGAGATGTAGATCAATCAAAACACATCAGGAATAACTGAATTGTAATCATCAGGATATTGACCAGTATCAATGTATTAAGAATGAATGCTTGTAATGTTGGATGAGAATAAATCTTCAAGATATTGATCAATTGCAACATATCAGAAATATATCAAGAATGACTGAATGCACTGTTTAATGAATTATAATATACTCTTTTTTTCGTTGGTATATTTTTGTTAATGGTACCTCTATTGACGAATCTGTGTAGAGGATTTTGGTTTTGGACTAAGCAACAATGTCTTGGGTTTTGGTATTGATATGGCAATTCTGTAAATACATGCTTCATATTAAACCAGCTGTACTGGTAGCATATGTAAAGGGTCAACCGTAATTTAGCAGTAAAGTGTAATATCCGTTTCTGATTACCAGTATTGTGAAGGATTTGCTTAATAAGGTTGCCTTCATAGCAAGAGTGGAAAGAGAAACTTAAGCATAGTTAATTATATACGGTGGTTTGAATTTGGTTGATTTTTTTCGAAGGCGATGATCAGTTAATAAACTATTACAAAGTTATATATTGTGAATTATAACTATTATGTAGCAAATTTTATGTCATTGGGCGGTATTCTAGATAAATGTAGTCTACAATATTTGGCCTCTATGGTTCTCTCTGCCTTAATGTTATATGATGGATGGAGTATCTTTCGAGATTAAAACAAGCAAAATGTAGCCTTTTTTTTGGACATTGAGACATATTTTATTTTCAACTAGGATTCTAGGAAGGAACAGAGAATAATGGAAGGAAGCCTTGGCAGTTAGCACATGTAGGGTACTAAATGTAACGTCTTTAAGGCAATAATGTATTTCAATTAACTTTTCAACAATTTCAATTAATGTAATGTAATATATTGTTATACATAAAATACTATAAAGAGAATAAAGTTTTTGAATGAATCATTTTGCTTTCTTTAGCTACAATTCTACAAATCAACTATAGCCATTGAAACAAAAGATTTACGCGTTTGACACCAATGTATATTTAGTTGTCCAATAACATTCAAGGTAATAAAAATCATTTTTATTACTATTTTGTTTGTTAATTTAGCCCAAAATTAACCGACCATCCTTGTAATAATTCACAAAATCTCTAAATTAAGCAAAATTCCATGATTTCCTTATTTTATTTTAAGTCAATCTTCTTGTATAGTAATAAATCATATGAAATCAATTGTACCTAACATTCTTTTCTTCTATATAAACCCCAAAAACTATCCTAATTTTTCCTTGCATTTCTATCACAAAATGTCTTCCTCAATTTACATTATTTTCTCACTTTCTCTTTTCTCTCTCTTCATCCACCCTACATTCTCTCAAACCACATGCAAATCCCTTAAACTTTCCTCCAACGTTACCTTTGAAAATTGCAATGATCTCCCCACCCTAGATGCAATCCTACATTGGACTTACAACCCCTCCAAGTCCTCCCTCTCCGTGGCCTTCACAGCCTCGCCCCCGCAACCCGATGGATGGGTTGGATGGGGCTTGAACCCTACGGCCCCGGGCATGAAAGGTGCCCAAGTACTCGTAGCTCACAAGGGAAAGGATTCAGTAACCGTAGACACATATGACCTACGTGATTATCATGACATCAAGAAGGGACCTATTTCTTACAACGTTAGCTCCCTCTCCGCCGAGGAAACCTCCGGTAAGATAACCGTCTTCGGCACGTGGGTCATACCCAAGGGCGAGTCAACGGTCAACTCGGTGTGGCAGGTGGGCCCTATGATGAAAGGTGACATAGCAAAGCATGCAATGGAGCCGGCGAATCGTAATGCCATGTTGAAGCTTAGCTTGACTGGTGCTGGAGCTCCTGGAGGATCTCCTGCCGGTTCGCCATCGGGTTCAAGTACCGATGGTTCGGCTCCACCACCGGGGACGGGTGCTGGGGAGAGACTGGTTTCAGGAGTTTTGGCCTTGGGGGCTATTGTAGTTTCCATGGTTGTTTAATAAACTTTGTTGTCTATTTCCTCATTTTTCTTTTCACAATTTAAATTTGGGTATACAATACAAATTAGAATGTATCATCTTTCTTAAGTATATTATCTTCTCTACAAACTTTGATCTTTTTGTGCCATATTTGATATTTTACCGATAAATCAAGACAGGAAAAGAGTCGGGCTAATTATTTCATCCATCTATCAAGAAACAATGTATCTATCGTGTCATTACCAAGTATAACTATATTTATGGTTTGGCAAAAGCTAACGAGCGTTAGATAAGAGAACTAAAAATGGAAATATTATAATAAAACTAACATTAATCGGGACATTCGTTAGCAAGATCCTTGTTGTTTAAAGGTTCTTTTTAGGACATTTCTTCTCATATTAGTTGCAAAACAAGTGAGTTTACTAAAAAGAAGGATTTTTAATGCCCCAATTTCTAGAGAAGAAAAAGGAAAAGATATTGTGGATGAGAAAATATATATATTTTTTTTCTTCATAATACAATGAATGATGAATATATAGGGTGAATTGCTTTTGGTGCAAATATATAGGGTGAATTGTGATGTTGGATTTTAGTCTTTTTAAATCTTGAATGAAGTAAGGGAAAATAATTGAATATTTGCAATTACTACCACGTAAGAATACAATGAGCTCGATATTCCATTCTTATGATAAAATAATGTAATTATATTGCCTTTGTATGTACTTAATTTTGAGTATGTGATTAGATCTGAAATAATGATATTTAGGCGCTTGATGCATGTACGTACACTAATGAGCTTCGGCATAAATTATTAGAACAAGTTCTATGAATTCTAGTAGATGAGATTATTCAAAAAAAAATTCTAGTAGATGAGATTGTTCCACATGAGAGGTCCACATAATGCTGATGAATGTTCCAATCTCTTAGTAAGCTAAAACATAGAACATGTTTGTTTTTCATAGCAAACATAGAGCACCTTCTTCATCTGAAATAAGTTATAAATTCCATACATAATTAAGTTCATATTGTATTCACCTTATATTATGAATTATTTCATACAATTTAAATAACATACTTTCTCATTTCCTTTTTATTTGCTCCATGGCACACTTGTTTATGAGAGCTTTATAAGTCATATATAAAAAAAAAAAAAAAAAAAAAAAAAAGAAAAAAGGACAGGGGGAGTACAAATTTTAAGACTACTTCATAAATAAATACAATATTTTACTAATTACAGTAAATAAATTTAAATAAGTTCCGGCAATTTCATAAAGTTATAATAAAATAAATTCATACGAGATAAGTCAAAAAAAAAAAAAAAATCACCAACTACTTGTAATTCACATAATTTTGACTAGCATTTCCAAATAAGTATCAATATTAAATTAAGAATGCATTTTACAACCCCTACTGCCTTATATATATTTTTCTAGTAAATTCACTTAATCTTCTTCATTTGATGCATTAGTCAAGCTGTCAAGGTAGCTAAGAGCCTAAGACATGCAAAAGTAAACTTATAAAAGTCAACGTATTAACGTGAATTAATTAGTTGGTGTGAAGGTTGATAAGTTAGATATTGATCAGCAGTTAGACAAATACAGTTATAAGCACATGTTTGCATGATGAAGTTGAACATAATTAATTAGCTTAGCTATTACGGTATTACCAGTTACTACTTAATTAAAGATTTCATAAGTCAGTAGTCAATTAAGTTTATACGGGGAATTATATTAAGGGTTGTAAAATTCTACATGTTTGTCTCCCATGATGCAAAAATTAAATATCCAATGCAACTATTGTACTCCTTCCGTCTCTATTTGTTTGCCCCATTGTTAAAATGTGGGTCAATTTTGATAACTTTGACCATAAATTCCCGTTGTTCTACCAAAGGAAATATAGTCGAGATCTTGTTTGGTTCGTCTCATTATATTTTTATAATTTTTACGCATATGAAAATTGAGATATAAACGTTTTAACACATATCTTGGACAACGCGTAAAGTTAAATGGGGCAAAAATATAGGGACAGAGGGAGTAATGTTTTAGAGGCTAAATCAAATTCAATTAATCAAATTTTTATAGGCCATTTTTAATGACGAACAATATAATTTTAAAGCTATCTTAATGACACATTGATACGAGTATATAAAATACAATAACATTTTTCAAAAATAAAAAATAAAAAAAAATACAATAACATTTTATTAAAAAATATAAATTCATATTTAACTTAGATACTTTGCCCTATTTATTTTTGCATGATGAGAATTGTGATCAACAATTTATTAATTCAATGAAAAATCTTATACATACTCCGTAGCTGGTACGTCATAATGTGAATTTCTGCAATGTATTTCAGTGTATATCGGTAGTCACAGACGACAATGTTGACTAATGACAATACCTTCAAGTCTTCAACACTACAGAGTTCTAGTGAGTTATTGTGCTTGAATTGTTTGAGCAAGTAATTTTCTTTAAGACCTTAAAATTTAAAAAAAAAAAAAAGTAAATAGATAAAAAATTCCGCCAATTATTGCCAAAATTAATGCCATTTTTGTTGTTTGCAATAGACCGTTTGTCAAAAAATAGTATTAATACTGATGAAAATTTTCCAAAGACTTTAATTCGACCAATTCTAATAGGATCATTTTTTTTTTTGAATAGATTCTAATTGGACCATTATATTTTGAATAGCTTTGAAAAAAAATTATATTGTGAATTTGTGACCAGGAAAATTCAATTTAAAATTGACAAGTACTATTTGGATATATATATACTTGATAATTAACACTTTTTTTATACATTTTGTTAGAGATATGAGATATCAGAAAATATATGTGTGATATATATTTTCCGTAGATATCATTAAGAGAATAATATATTTAAGTAATATCTTAACATAAAATAAACCTAAATATATTTTTTCTCTTAATGATATCTACGGAAAATATATCACACATATGTTTTCCAATATCTCATATCTCTAACACATTTCAACTTGATTATTATACTTACTAATCGTCCCTGCTACTTTAATGTCTAATTCGTATACTTCTTTCATTTTTTAATACTTGCATTACACACTTCTTCACGATATTAAAGAAAAGTGAGTTTGATACAATTAAAATGGGATGAAAGATTGTTAGGAGTATAAGTTAGTAGCATGATATTAAAATAATGATAATAGTACAACTTTCAACAAATTAAAATAATTTTTTTTAAAAAAAGAATACTTTCAAACCTCATTAGTGTTGTTCAATGAATTGTAGTCAAATGCCATGTGGTATTGAAGAAGTCTACGCCAATAATTATCCTAATCTTGAATTACAAAAATAAGTGTTCAGTGATACTTTTAAACGGATTAAACCTCATGTTGGTTTAAGAATTGTAACAACAAGATCGATATCTAAAAGCACTGCGAGTCTTGTTGATAGATATTTTTAGACTTTATGTACATGAATTTTAAAAATACCGACTAACATTTGTTATTGTGATTCATGAAAAGAGTAATTATATATTGATTCAGACAACCTCATATGATATGCTAGTAGATGAGATTGTTCCATATGAGAGGTCCAAATAATGATTAGGTATTTAGGTTCCAATCGCTTAGAAGGCTAAAACATAGAGCAAAGTTTGTTTTTCATAGCAAACACCTTGTCCCTATAATTAAGTTCACATTCATTGAACTAATATTTTGATAAGTAATTTTTAGACTACTTCATACATAAATATATATTCATTTCAAATAAAATGAATTCAAATAAGTTATGGTGATTTCATGAATTTATGATACAATAAATTCGATAAGTCGAACAAAATATTACTCATAATTTAATCTCTCAACATATGATTTTGTCTTACATTTTCAGATAAGTATGTACAATTTTATGTTATTTTATTGGACAAGGATTATTACCAATTTTAATAATACATTTCACAACCATTTTTTTGATGTGTTGTATGGAGTATCAAATAAAATTATCAATACTAGTCCCTTTGTCCCAAATTTTTTTCCCATTTTTTTAATGGTTAACCTTTGACAATTCTAACCAATAATTCTCATTGTTATGTATAGAAAAAAATGGTCATGGGCATTATTGTTGTAGATTTATTTTAATTTGTAGTTTTATAATATTATTTTTATGATATTTATTAGTCTTAATACGTAATTAAAGGTATTGACGGTCACATATACATCTCTAAGACTGTACAAATAGAAATGGAGGGAGTAGTAAGTAGCAACCCCTACTAACTACGAAGTAATATATTACCTATGTTTCATATTATCTATAACAACTCTCCTCATTGCAAAACTTTTGCAACACTTAATTATTCTTAACTTTATAAACTCCGCAACTTTTCTTTCCTCTAACTCACTGTCTTCCTAACGCCACCAAGCTCATCGGCGGCCATTTCCACCCTATGGTCGCTGGCGAGCTTCCCAAAACGCGTCGTTTGGCTGCTAACTCATTTAATTTGTGTAAATTGGAAGATTCGTGGGTTCCTTTCGGAGGCGTTTTGGCTCAAGCTGTAAGTCTCTTTCAGTTAATAAGTTCTAGCTCTTCTTGTCTTTGGTCTGCATCTTCAAGTTTCTTGGGTTGTTGCTAGTGTGCTGTTTGGTTTATGTTTAGTAGTTTTTTGGATCTTACTGTTTGGGTGATTTTTAAGGGATGGGGGGAAATTCTTTTAGTTTAGGACCTTTCATGCTGCACCATTTGGACCATTTGGGGAAGATGATTTTGATGTTGAGGAAATGTTTAAGAAAACCAGTAGTCCGGAAGGGGCTATCTCGTATGTGACTGCTCTTAAGGAAGAAGCGAATGCCCTGTTCAGATTGAGAGATTTTAATACTGCCTTTGTGTTGTACAATAAGAGTATCAAATGCTTGTGTGTTATAATATGTGCCATTAGTGATGATACTTAGAAGTGTGAGGTTAGCCTCGAGTTGAAGGAATTAGCTTTTAGTCTGCATTTGACTATTGCGGCTAGCGCAATTAAGCTCAACAAGTTTAATGATGCAATTACTTCTTGCTCTTTGATTTTGGAGTCTAATAAGAGAAATGTGAAGGCTTTGTTTAGAAGAGGAGTAGCATTGGAGAAGTTGGGGTCTTTGGATAAGGCATATGATGATTTTAAATTAGCAAATGAGATTGAACCTAATAACAAGGAAATTGGGATAGAAATGATAAGATGTTATGTTCAGGGAACCTGATGCTATTGGTAATGAGGCAAAGATTGA